AGATTAAGATCATAATACCAAAAGTTGGGCCAAACAATGAGGGAACTCTTGCCTGCAGTCAGGCTATCAGAGACTATGAAAACGGTATAACAAGGAAAATAAATGGGCCTTAGTTTTGCACTAACTCAAACAAAAATAGACAGAGGGCATGTAATGCAAACAAACATAAACAGCCAGAGAGTGTTAGTGACCATTACAGGGCTGATGTCCTGCTGGGGAGAAAACAAATGCTTTTCTAACAGTCAAAAAGAACCTGCACAAAATATTTTCATATGTAGAGAAGCTAAGGAACTTGTAAAAAGGAAACCACAAGACTGCAATAGGTGGCTACACTGGTTCCTGACATAGGTTCTTTAAAGGCTGAAGGTGTTAAGATGATGGAGATGGGTTCTGCTGTCTTCTCTCATCTTTTTATTCCCAGGGGCTAAGGGCCAATATCTCACTTGTCAAGACAGGATCAAAAAGAAATCGGTGACAAGCCCCAAAAAAAAAACCAAATTAAAATCAAAGCCCTGAGCAATGTGAGTGCAGACACCACCCAGTGCTGTGGGTGCTGGAGTTCCCCCTGAGCTGCCACCCCATTCACAAAGAAGTGCACAGGCAACAGAACAGCTGTTGGCAACGGGAGGAACAAAGACTTGAGTGACACGGGCTCCTCCTGTGAGGACTCTGGTTAATGGCCATATAATAGCATGTCTCAAGGTAGCATTTGCAGCTCAGGAACATAAAGCTGCATGCTTAGTCCTAGAGATCATTTTCCAGTATGTTTTCTTTCTAGAACAAAAGCTCTTGCTTGTTCTTACAGCCATGAGAGTCTGAGCTATTGATTCTCCAATTACTTGTGGACTCTGGGAAGCCTCGCTCAGTAAGGTTAGACTTTTCCTCAGTAATTCCTTCTTGGAATGTCTGGCAAGGAAGCACATTGAAAGGTACCACTAAACTTGTGAACTTATGCTGTTGGTGAGAGCTCTTACTGCTGGCAATACATGGAAAAAAAAAAATCAGTGTGGTGATTGGTAACAGACTATCTCCTGCAGTGCTGTGTGCTTTGTGTCAAGTCAGCTGCCCCAGACTTCATCAGCTCCTTGGAAACTGCAGGCAACCAAGAATTTGGCAATACAAGAGTAGTCATTTTCCTTCCTACCACCCAGAAAATAATTCCTATTAAATCTTTGCTCTTTAAGTGCCACCAGCTGTTTGTGTTGGACAGGATGTAGGAAGGGATAGATGGAAGCAGAAGCCAAGAGGATTTGAATAGAGGGTGAATAAGGTCATTAGCAGCAGTGTTCACTGTACCACCTTAGCATGCAAGCTGATCATAAAGTCAAGGTACCTGTGAGAGAGGTTTCACTCAGGTTTAGGCTGGGATTTGTCCTTTTTGGCTTTCTTATTCCTTAAGCTTCCAACCCCATGGAGAAGGACACTGCCCACTTCTGTCCTAGCAAGCCCTGAGTTTAAGTGCAGGATGCACAAAGATGGAAGCTGGCCAGCAGCACTGCAGCTGCATGAAAAAATAGACTACTGTAGTTCTCTGAACTATTTTAAGAACAATGACAATTCCTCAGCCTGTTGGTTCAGTTTGACTAATCCACTGCCTAGCCTAGATCCATCCTTTCCTGCCTGGCTTAGAGGACAGTCTGCACAAGATTAGATTGGATGTTTGCAGTGGGCATCAGCAAATCCAAAATGTTACCGTAATATTCCAGTGAGAAATGAGAGTTTAAACAGACTGAGGTAGTTCAGTAGTAGTCACATAACTATTCACTACAAGCATTTCAGTAAAACAGTGTGGTGATGTGCTACTTTAGCCAGTAATTACTGCCATCCACTCGTCTAATCAAAGTGAATTTTGAAGCATTCAGGTAGTAAGAGAAATGCAGGTCTCACTGCTTGGCCTGTCCATGGAAGGCAGGGGGGGTTTCACCACTGGCTTACTGGAGCAGCTGTGTTGGTGAAGCCAAGCCTGCAGACAGATCATTCTGAATGCAAACTCACAGGGCTTACAGCAAAATGGAGAGAACAAAAGTGAAGATAGCAAGGAATGTACACTTTTAAAATGTCCTGGTTGATCCTGTACTAGTGTTCAAAGAAACAAGGGCCCTGTTTGCCTACCAAGGCACAATGACTACAGAAACATGTACAGTAACACAGAGGTCAAAGCCATCTCTGGTTTGGTTTGATTCCCTTGAGCTGCGGCAGGACAGCAAATCCAAGTCTGAGCTACAAAGGGGAACCGATTTTCTCAAATATTCTGCCAGACCTGAAAAATATGTGACTTGTAAATGGGCAGCGCAGTAAAATCTGAGTCCTTTTCACTAACCAGCTTGACTGTGTGGTTGCACCTGCTATCACAGTGTGTAAGAGATGGCTCAAAGCAACTCAACCTGCGGTAGCCTCCTCACCTTCCCAAAAGTCTACGTGTACTTTCCCTTTCTGCTTTATTTCAATACTTTGTGACATGTTTTATAATTCATGGGTTGCTTGTGTGGAAATGATAAATAATTGTCAGCTGTTAGCTAACTGGGAGGCTTGTAAATGAGCTGGGTTTGTAAGCACACTATGGCATTTTGTACTTCAGAAGTGGCAGTACAAGAAGGAATTTTAAATGGCACAAGCAGCACAGCCATGTTGTCACCCAGCCTAGGGATACCACGTTCATCTGCTACAGAGGACTGTGCAAAAGCAGATTTTGAAAAGAATGCTTGGTTAAATCTACAGCTGGCCCTTGGGAGACTCCTGATGCAATCCAGCCAGCAGCTGGGAATGAAGCAGAAGTACACCATGGCCAAAGTCCAGGAGAGCAGGGGCACACGGACCCAGTATTCTGGGTACTTAAGCATTTTATCTATTCCACGTGGCTTTGTACTGCTCTGCATGTGAAAACTGCTAATTGATCAGGCAAAAAGAAGTGTCTCCCATCAGAAAAAAATACAATGACCCCTGTTAAATGAGTCTTGATGGTTTCCCCAGAAACCAAGCTGCAGGTTTAAAAGCCACAAAGCTACCTTGGGCTGCTTGTGTTCTCTTAATTCCACCGAGAAGAACACTAGAAAAGAGCAGAGCGGTTGTTGCTACATTAGTGACTAATATTAGCTCCACTACATGAGGAATTACTGGGAGATATCCAGCACTAGTCTGAGCTGTGCCAATGGGAAGTCAACAGTTCAAGTATGTACATATCTTTCATAGCTGTCAGTCTTCTGCACAGCAAACTGCTCAGCTCTGGGCCAAAGCTCCAGAGCTTCAATAGCAGGTTAGGAAACAATATTTCACGTGGTAACTTGAGAAAATAGACTTTCCTGTGAACCTGTACAACTCCAAGTGTATTGTGCTGAGGTGCTCTATCCACGTTGCAGTTCCAGGGTGGCAGCTGTCTGGTTCAGTAACACTTCACAGCATAAGGAAAAATGCAGCACATGCAACTAACTTCCAATGCTTTAGTTTATGCCAACATTCCATGCATTTCACATGCATTTGGCAGGACTGGCTGTTTACATACTCTGGGACTAACAATGTGTAGAAAAGCATTTACAGCATCAGATTTGGGGGAGCTTAATACTGGACCTGGTTTGCAGCTGTTCATCTGTTCTTCCATGTTTCACTGACATACCTGGCATGGGGAGGAGGAGTTCTAACGCAACCAATTTATACTGTTCTGATGACAAAATTAGTTCTCTTACAACTGCAATGGTGCTGACTAGCTTTAGCCAAGCCAGCAGCTGTCCAGCTGTTGTGCTGCACAGCTGGCCCACCCCCGCAGCCCAGCTCAGCTGGGCACTGCTGCTGCGCCGTGGGAGGTACAGGCTGGGCTCTGACACCCTGCTGCACACAGGACAGGATGAGCGTGTCCCACAGCTATGGCAAAGGCCATGTGCACATCAGGAAACACACCAGCATTAAATGCCTTCTCGGTCCCTCCCTCTGCTCTCCGTGCAGCTCTGCTCCGTGCTGGTTCTCCCACCGGCCACGACCCAGCTCTGGAGGCACTGCACTGAGCCACCCCATTGGGGTCAAGCACTGAACTGTATTCCTCTACAGCTTTCCAACTTCCCTCCCCCAGCCTGCCATTTAATGCACAAACCAGATGTGTGTTTGGAGCTTTGCTATCCATCTTACAGCACAACTGAGGCAGTGGACTGCTGCTGAAGTCAGCAATGTACCTACAGAGAAGTCATCTGTACAATCTGCTTTGTTCTTCAACTGCTAGAATTACCACACAAAAATGCCAATGCAGAACTGCTGTGCTTCCTACTGGATTAGGATTAACCCATCCCAAATAACTGTGTGAGAGCAACTTCTTGCCAAATGGGGAGAAAGCCAACAGCCAAAGCCTTGGCCCTCCCACAGGGCAGTTTTCCTACTTCGGGTTAGCTCAGGGTCTCAGGAATCTGCGCAGTGAAGTCAAAGTGATCAGAAGGGCCTGGGGCACATCTGAGTTGGAGAGGAGGAGGGAAGGATTAGTTCTCCAAGGGCCAGAAGTAATGTGCAGCCCTGGCCAGTGACACTGAGAATAAGGCCAGCGCCGCGGTTTAGCCCCAGTGCTACGGCTGTTAACTCAGAGCCTCGTTGGATCAGGATGTGTGGAGCAAGGGTACCCGTCCTGACACATAATTTTAATAATAGCTTGTAAGTGTCAGTGGTAATGTCATCTTTAACAGTGAGCCTGAAGAGGATCCAGAAGGGAGCATAATATGCCCTGTTAGAACAGCTAATCTGCATAAAACGTATGACAAGCCAGACCTTTTCAGTTTCATAAACTGGCTGAATATTCATTTTTAAGGCACTGTCCAAATCGGTTTGGTCATAGATAACTATTTAAAGCCCATTTCAAAGCTGGCATATACACCACAGAAATAACATAAGAATGGGGGAAAAGGCAACAATAACAACCCCCTGTGAAAGCAATGAAGATTGCCTCTAGCCAAACCCCTGACGATGAGCATCAGTGATAGCGGCGCCAACTCCGGCACAACATGGTATGACATTTGGTCACTACTTACTGGCCACTTTTGTACAGGATCGGTGCAGGGCAGAGCAAAAAATCAGACTCCACTGTTTTAGGTTTTTCATCTGAAAAAAACAAATCACATGAGCTTACTATGCTGTGCTGCTTAGATGAGGAGCTGCTGTGTGAACATGCTGTGAGGTCCCTCCTTTCCTAATCTCCTTACTGGTCAGGTCGTGTCTGGAGCGGGCAGCAAGGCAGCCCAAGATAAGGAACATACAGCCCCAGACTGGCTTTAAATGCCAGGTGAGCCCATGTTACAGGGTGTATTTTATTTAACTCAAGTCAGCTCATGCTCTTCCAGAGAGATCATTTCCTAGAACCAACACCATTTTCGTGGAGAATGAGAACATTATTAGGGGGTTCCTGGTAGCTGGAAGATGAAGGTTTGTTTCTAATTGGCTCCATCTGTGTGTACTGCATTCCAGGACTGTTCTGTTAATTGTGATTGGAGTATCTGTTTTTTTGGTGTTTCTTATGCTTTTGAATCTGTCATATGCAAATCTCTTACACTTATAAAGCACCTACTTGTAGAGCACATGTGTCCAGCACAGTACTTTTATTCTGCACATGTGAGGAGAAGAGGAGGGAGCTCTTTTACCTCATGTGTTTGGTAAACTGGGGAAAATTCTCCTCCTGTGTGCAGAGCCATCCTCCCAAACTTTCCCACAGCAGGACTGGTAATTTCTTACAGGGATTATGTCCTGATTGCAGGGTGAGAGCAGATAAATGATCTGCCAGATCTATGTGGAGATGACTGTCCTGCATTTTGGGAACAGGCAGACAGACAAGTAGTTCAGGGGCAGCTGAAGGAGGAGCTGTTGGCATAAATGAGTTTTTCTTATGTGCTATAATCTGCACTGACTGCTTGGCCTAGATTTGGGGCTAGTTGTGAGGTGGGGAAGAGGGATTAGCACATTGCCATATGTTTTTGTCTTAATGGTATGTTTCATAGATTATTTTTCTATCCCACAGCTCCATTTGGCAGGTTTCCTTTCTAGCATTTGGTAATGGTTCTTTATAAATGCAGAACAAGAAACATGCCAAATGCATCTTCTCAAAGCAGAGGCACTGACACAGTGCGGGTGTGCTCAGAGGCTGGTCCCGAAGCGAGCCCAGGAGCTCAGGGAGGGGAACTCCAGCGTGAGCACATCCTCACCTGATACCCTCTGCTGTGCCCTCAGATACTGAGGGCTCTGCTGAGGGACTGCCAGTCTTCTGGAGAGGAGAATGCAGTGACATGAGAATGATGGCCTTCTCGTGGGACTGTCTCCTTCCTCCTGCTACTGCTCCAAATGCCCTGCCTACCTTCCTGTCCACCCTGGCTTCACTGACCCCTTTTAGGCTTCCTCTGGGACAGAAGCACTTGGAGCCAGCACAGAGCTGTAGAGAATAAGCTTGTGTATGGGGAAAGGACCACATGAAATTCCTTTGTCTCCTTCCTGTGCAAACGTTTGCTGTTGTCCATTGCTAAAGAAGTGAACTGGGGGGAGATGTAGAAGGCCCTGGCAAGACCCCATAGAGCAGATTGTGTTTTTATAATCAATACATCACTGTGCCATTCCCCTCCCCTCATGTGCTTCAGCACACCCCTTCCTGAAGCCAAGAAAAAACAAGCAGCCCAGAGCTGTAGTTGGCAATTCGCACATCAGATGCTAGTGAGTGTTTGTGGGCAATGGGAAACAGAGGTGACAATTGTAATGGAAACTGAAGGGAAATTTGTACAAGCAGAACTGACTTGCACAGGCTGCCTGCACCCAGAATACTGGGCTATCCTGTTATTCTGCCAAATGATTGTAGATATTTAACAGGCAGGAGGGATTGGCAGCCCATTCCAGTATATATGATATCCAGGGTAAAGACAAAAATGCACTGGAAACACAAGTTCAATTGGGTAGGAATTTAAGACAGGCTAATAGAGAAATCAGACTGTAGGCAAGGAAAAAATCAGTTGGACTTTTTCTACAAGTTCAGTTTTGGTTGCTTTCCAATCTGGCTGGCCTCTAAGGGATGCTGCTTAGAGCTAGAAGTTGGATGTACTTATCCTAGCCATCTCCTTGAGTTTCTGGATATAAAAACCAAAGTCAGATAAAAGCTTACAGGAAAGTGCCTGTAAAAGGTACCACGGTCACTGTCTGAAACAGAATTGCTTTGGGATGTGGCTGCAGTGAGTCCCACCACTGGAAGAGAGTGCTGCTGGGCACACTGAGCTGATGAACGATGGTGAAACACAGGGACAAAATACACCTACTGTTCTGACCTGGCCTTGTTCTGTGCTGTTGCAGAAAGAGAGCTGACTCCGTGTCACGCATCCCTGAAACCCACAGCATAGTGGCTCCACACCTGGGACGCCAACCAGAACGGGCAGAGACCTTCCAAGACAACAAGGTAAGTGCCTTTGGGAATTGCACTGACATGTTGTGGTCTGGGTGGTCTTGCAGAAAGGGCCCTCGGTCAGTACACTGTGGCCATGGGTTTGTTCATCAGCAAACATCTGTCTCCCTGATCATCAGGAGCCAACAGTTCTCACCACGTAATGCCCACAGCCAGCTGGGCTGCCAACACCATTCATGGCGCACAGCTAATGGCTCCTGGTACCAAAATCAAACCCCTGAGCTAAGTGTGAAGTAACTTCCCTCCTATTACTAATCCTCAGCGCTTTGCTGTTCTCCTCTTCTTCGATATATTTCTCTTGGAATTTTAATCAACTGAGGCCATGAGAAGCAAACTCAATCCCTGCATAAGTTCTTATGCAGATGATTCCTAACATCAATACTTACGGATTGTAGTCCCATTCACTTGATAGGTACAAGTCACGCTGTCAGTTCTCCCACCAAGGGTTAAGCCGCTTCCTCTAAGAACAACTTGAAACTCCTCTGGAGAGAAAAGCAAACACCCAAAATCACCCAACTTCACTAAGTTACACCAGGACAATTTCAGTTTAGTCTACAATAAAGGAAGCACAACATAGCAATGTTTCCAGCTTACTGAGATCTCCTTTTTACTGGAACCCTTGTACTGAATTCTCCTTAGGTCACACTAGGGAAAATCAAGATTTGTTCCCAAATCTTTATCACTGAGGCAGCCCTATGAAACTGCAAGTGAATTCTGCCTAACAACAGAATCTGGGGCTCAGTTGCACAGTAACAAACCATTTCTCAGTGAATGAGAAATCTGAGACTCAGAATGAGAACACTCCCCAAACCTGGATGAGGCGCATTTGAAGTGCCTCATGAAGAAAATCTTTCTCCTTAGTGTACTATTCCTCTGGAAATTGCCTAAGGGCCACACTATATCTGTGAGCTGTGCAGAGGAGGAGTGCAAACAGTTAGTTTACCAGGGCCACTGACTTCACCCAGACGATCTATGTTTTCACAGAAATATCCAAGTAAGATTTTGCAACTACCTTATTTTGACTGGTCTCCAACTATGAGTGGATTGTGAAGCCCAGAAAGAAGACAACCCCTAAAATTGTCTGCGACTCTTATACTTCATAAATGTATTTTGCTGCCCAAAAATGCAGTCACATGCTTTACTGCTTATGTTCCACAGATTTTGGGGAAGATATGGGGCAAGTGCAGAGCAGGAATCATAGGAGAGGGACTGGTAAATGCTTTCCAACTTCGATGTGATTCACCCAAGCTGTGGAATCAGGCCATGGCAGACACCCCCTCTAAGAAGGAGTCAACAGAGAAGCATATATCTTTCTTGAACTCCTTGAGGATTTTTTTTAAGTTAGAGATGTTTTACTCTAGACACGTGCAGTTTTCCTTTGGGTAAAACAGGGAAATCACAGTATTATAATCATTGAATATTCTTTTAAAATTATAAAGACTTACCTCCCACACAGACACTGGATGGCTCCAAATATAAGATCTCAGTGCATGACTGTTTCAAAACCTATTGCAAAGGAGGAAACTAGTCATAAATAGGTTTCAGAGTGCTATTTCAGTGAGCAATATTACTTTAAAACAATTGCTTGTCCCTAGAAGACAGACATACGCAGCTACAGGTTTGATTTGCTAAGACTTTGTAAGACATTGCCTGGAGCACGCACAGCTCCTGCAGGCCTGCAGAGTCAAGTCTAATTGTTCCTAAGGCTTGGATAAGTTTGTTATGCCTGGGATAGCCTTCAAAACATAATGATGTCCACATCCCTAACCTTATTTTCCATGAACCCCAATCCTAACGTTTAAGCCAAAAATTAGTCACAAGGAGCCTGATCCAAAACCTAATCCAGTCAAAAGCAGTGTTCTCACCATCTGTGGGTGAGGCCAAGTGCACGTTATTCTGAGTGCTGGCCCCCTGCCCTCCATAAAGCAGTGCAGGGACGCGCGGGGTTCCCGATTGCGCTGCCCGCCGTCACGCAGGGATGGCTCACTCTGGCTTGCCCTGTCACAAGTGCTATTTCTAGCGGGTGTTCAGAAATACTCCACGGAATCAATTCAGGTCCCTGTAACCACGTGCACAGCAGAAAGTCCTGTTACTGTCCCCTCTCTACCTCTCTTTGCTGGAGCTGTGTCTTCTGCTGAGCTGCCCTGACTGCCTGGCAATGTCCCTCTTGGCTTACTCTTAACTCTTTCTGCCTTCTCATAGGTACAACTCTTTTTACTCTGTCTACAGTTTTCGCTAGTGATTTCTATTGCTACACATCCAGGCCCAGCAGAAACAATGTAGTTGCTGCTCTGACAAAAAGCATGCCAAGCTCCAAGAAAGAGAATAGCCTCCCTCACTGAACACTTCCCACAGTTCCTCTCTCCCCACAGACTGTGGTGCACAAATTATATTTTTAGTGATTTAAAACCCATTTGTATTAAGTAGTATTTAAGGAAAATAGAGACCTTGCAGGCACACACATTTGAATGAGACACAGCACCAGAAATCTTAGGAAAGAATGTTGAACTGCAGTTCAGTGCAAGCCAAGCAGTTTGTACGAGCTGAGGATCTCGCCTTGCTTCCAAAAAAGGGCTTTGGCTTTTTGATTCCTATTGCAGTGTGGAGAGAAGTTTCCCGTGGTTTATTTGGCGGTTGGGCAATATTTTGTGCAAAATAAAATACAGCAAGAATACAGCATTTTAGTCCTTTGCTGTAACAGCATGTTCTATTTTTTTCCCTGAAGAGTCAGATGAACAGCCCAAGTGAAGCTGAGACTAGAGACAAGCCTTATGTGAAGCACAGATCCAGCAGCTGGCATTGAATACAGTAATTGTGGTTTTTTAGAGCCGCATTATATAGACAGGGAGAACCTTCTGAACCCCTGTCCTGGCCCCATTTGCCCAGTGTCTGATGAAGGGTCCATGTTATGAATTGGGGGTCAGGGAGAGGGGAAGACAATGTGGGACAGGATCTGACTTCCCTTGCAAAGCAGTAGTTCTCTAATGTGCTGCAGCCTAGGGTGAATTGTCTAACACTTTGCTTCAAAATGCAATGCAAATCAGGAAAGAACCTATTTGGACATGCTTAACTCCCTTTGGATTTAAGCATAAACTGGGAGGGGCAGACATAACAAATCCAAATGAGATGAAATGTGGCCTAGATGAAATGATCAAAAATCATGAACAAAAGGAATTTTCACTATAGGGTTCAGGATACACTGATTTCCTGCATGGAATCCGTTTTTACACATGTAGATGTGCCACTCTTGACTAAAGCAGGAAAATACTGAAAACTGTTCTTAGAAATAACTGCTTTGACAGTAATTTTTCATAATTTTTATTACTGCTGTTCTCTGCTTAGCTTAAGCATGCTGTACTGTTCAGAGACCCTCAGCCTCTTTGCAAAGGGGGTGGTCTGAAACTGCCATTTTGCCCCAAACAAAGCTTAAATTAGGAGGAAAAAAAAAAACAACTGTGGAACTACTAAAATTTGGGTTTCTAAGTTTAGCAGGTTCTTTTCCACCCCTCAAAAAGCTTTTTGATAGTCCACACTTTAAAGAAACAGAAGGATAATGGTACAGAAATCTGCCTTGTTGCCATAAACCCCTCCCTTCAACAATCAAGTCAGCTTAAAAAGCAGAAATCAAACCTTGTAAAGGATTAATTGGAATCAGGTGGAACCAATCAGAAGCATATAGAGAGCTCTTTGTTTAACCCTTTATGGTCTGGATTCTCTTCAATATCCCCTCTAAACAACACTGAAACACTGTTCAGAACTGCATTTTGCAGCAGTCACATAAAAATCAGAACACTCTTTGCAGGGTCCAACCCACAAGCTGTAGCAAGCACCAGCCATGTGCATGGTTTGGCTCACAGGGACTCTGCTGCCACAACAGACAACTGAAAATATTTTCCAAGGCAGTAATCACTGCTTGTGCTTTCACGTGTGGAGAAAAAGCACATATTTGCACATCCTAAAAGAAGGTACAGAAACTTGAGGCCTTGCTTTATTCTTGCTCACTCTTCTGTATCTGCTTTCATCTTTCTTCCCTTTCCATGCAAGCTATTCCTTCCCAGACAGCACAGGGCACTCCAATACACAGTTCATTTCTCTTGGGGGCAACTGATGTGAAGGCATCTTACCCATGTGCGTTATTTAATATGCCTTCATCCCCCTGCCCTTTATAATTTAAAACTAACTTTAAACTACCCTGCTGTGGAAACCTGGGCTGCAAAGTCAGCAAGGTCAAAATGAACTCCACAGAAATCCATACAACGCTTCCCCTTTCCCAGTTCATTATAATCCAAGAAACCTACTGCTCACAAGAGAAGTTGAAATCATCACTATATAAGGCCATCCTTGGGTAGGATAGTCAAGCACTCTGCTGACATAAATTCAAATAAGACTATGAATTGCCTTAGTTTAACAGCATGCAATGAGAGATTGAGAGAATTTATGTCATCCACTTGATTCCAAGAGCTTCACACCAAATATAGGACTCTGCTCCCAGGCTCGCAAAGGCTTTTCTACCGTTCCCCCCCTTTCCCACTCAGTGCTGGCTGGCACAGAGAGAACCAATTCCCCACAAACCCAAGTGCAAAATAGAACAGAAACCTGTCAGTCCTGTTGTCCTGCAGCTTCAGAAATGGAGACCTGTGGAGAAACTACAAGGGTGTTCTTCTCCTTCTGAAGCAGAACTGTGCAGTGCGGGACTGGTTCAGCTGGAACCAGAGCCTAATCAAAGTAAAGAGACCACAGCTGTGAGCTCCTTAGGAACTGTGTGGCTGCTGGAACAAGAGAAGGCAGTGGAGTCCTGCTCTTGAAGGCAGTCAGCCTCTTGGACTTAAGAGACATGAAATCCAGGCCCCAAACATCCTCTTGTTCAACACCACCACAACAGACCCCTGAGGAAATTACTCCACAGCTGCTCCGTGTACAGGACTTGCTACATTGCTGCCACCAAACTTGTTACATTGCAGCAGCCACCAAACATCTAAGATTTGAAAAATGTTCCGGTGCTTTCTAGGACCCCAGGAACACAGCTCATGCTCCACGCTAACTCTGCCACCCGGCACTGCTTCACAGGGCTGGCTCGAGGCAGAGCAGCCTCCCAGCAAAATCCCTTCTTATGGCTACCTAGTGAATGGACACCGCACAGTCTCTACAGCAGCTCTCAGTAAAGCAAGTCAATCACTTCAGAACACTTCTGAGAGCAGCAGTTACCAGAGTAGAGGCAGCCCAGATACCCGTGGGGGCTTGAAGCAAACTCGCTGGCACACGCTGCCCAGCTCCCTCTGTGAGCACTGTGGCTATTCAAGCAGAGCTGCTGGGCTCCAAACCAGTGAAATGGGGGCATTTTCTCTATAAGTCCCACTGTCTGTCACTTGTCTCCATCTCAGGCTCTTTCAGTGGCTTACAGGCAAGCATATGTAAATCCTCTCAAAACAGTTGTAGGAAGTTCTTTTATCAAGTACATTCATTCACTTATCGGAAGCTTTATCAGCTTTTCTGTTTGGCACCACTTTTCACTAGTGCATTTTTTTCTTGACCAACCTGATTGTGGATGAGTACTTAAAATCCCTTTCCACCCTCGTGGATTTCTATGCACTTCCCACTAGAAGGTTCCCAAAGGCTCACACAAAGTTCTCAGTCCACCTTCTGATGCAGCGGGTTCCCATTTTTGTCATTACTAACGCATTTCCTCCCAGAAGAGCTGTTTCACAGAAACGCCATCCATTTCTGACCCACAAGTGTCCAAACCGACCACAGGCTCCAGTTTTGTCAGCTCTAAGCTGCAGAAACACCCCACCCACCCAAATCGTGCCAGTAGCACAGAAAGGGCAGGTGTCCCTGCAACACGCTGCAGAAAGGCAGCCAAGTAACAGGCTGACATCAGGCTCCCCAGGGCTCGTGGCCCTTGCAAACTCCACCTCTGTTTATCGATCTCGCCTTGTCAGAGATCTTGCCCTTGCTTTATGCCAGCATTTCTTCACATGGCCAATGTGCCTTCTGGACCTGCCAGGACCTCTTTAACCTGGCTGTGCTCTGACTCACTTTTCATCTTTGCTGCTGCCTCTTACAAGTTCTCGGCACTTTAACAGCGAAGCAGCAACTTTCTGAGTATTTAGCCTGCCACACCCTCGGAACATACTGTGGAACAGAGCTGTACCGGGCCGCACAGTGTTACACGCAGGCTAAAACAACAACTTTCAGCACCCTAAGGGAGGTCATGTTCCAAGAAATTGAGAGAACAATGCACTAGTGACGAGCTGTGAGCAGCCCAACTGTCTGGTGACAATTAACAAAACAAGTCAAGTGTCAATTTATCTCACAGAACCACTCGGTTTTGCTTAGCCCCATATGCAGTTCAAAAGTTTTTGGTAGCAGGCAGCACCATAAATCGTAACTTGCACGGCATCTGCTCCTGCCCAGCACTGTACACTACAGCGGGTTCAGGCTTTGGGGCGGGTCATCAGTACAGCTGCATTCTTTACTGAACCACCATAATGATTTTAAGTCTAGAA